GATGGTTGGGGAGAGAAGTGCAGCAATGAATGAATGGAAATCCAAAATCTCTGTAAATACTCATTAAAATTATTTTTTTAAAAATTCTATATGTCTATAATGATTACCTCCATTTACTGTATAGATATCTCCTCACAAGGGTAAAAAAATTTACAAACAAATCCTGAAACAATCTTTTACCTGTTTTCTCCCAAACTACACTTGAAGCAGTAGTGCTATTTTCTGCACATATATGCTATTCTTATTGATTAAACTCTAGTTCAAGTGCTACAGGACACACGTTATGTTTATACTAAAACCATTACAATTATCTCCAACATCTACCTCCTGCCTTTCTCTTCAAATTATAAATACACTTAAAACGCATTTTAATTGAAAATGTACATGATGTCTTAAAATCAGGAATGCACTCATCAAGAATAAGTTTTAATCTCCCTTCGTTTTAGTGTAACTTGGCTCATATCATCTTCCTGTTAAAAAACTGTTCAATGGCTCTCCATTACCAACAGCTTCAAAATAAGGAATTCTCACTCATCCAGAAAATGTCAAGTTTTCAGGTTAAAACTGCATCATTTAAAAGATATCTGAAGTTAGAAAATATTTAGTTATCATGAATAAATTATTCAGTGTAAAACTGAAGCTCAGAAACGCACTCACAGATGCAGACTCAGCACTGACTCAGTGACCCTCTGGTGACTTTCCGAAGTTAGAAATTTCCAGGGGGAAACTTTTCTCCCTTATAGCTACTGGTAGATTAACTGCCAGAGAAGCACTATTAATCCAGTGCCAGGTGGTTTGAAAGCTGGGCAGGCTCCTCCAGAATGATTTACAGTCTCTGAAAGCCTGCTGGAGAGTCAGCTCTGAGTCAGTTCTGACTCATGCCAATTAGTAATAGAGATCACTACTCAAAATTTCTCTCATCCTTAAAATCAGTGTACCATTATAAATATTTTACTCATTTCATAGAAATAGTTTACTCATTTCAATCTGATACAATTTATAAAAAATGAAGGACATAAATAATGTAGCTTTAGTAAATTTTATTGCAACTAAACTATCAAATTACGACTTTTCAATAAATGGCTCTTGTCTGGGAGAAGGGAAGACAAATTATTGATTTAGAAGGCCAGGAGTAGAACCTTAAGATTTATCGAGGTCAGCTGGCTTAAGATTTTACAAAGACAATGTTTACATCCCACTTTGCTAAGTAGCAACCAGGGTCTTAACAAAAGTGAAGAAAGTTAAAGCCTTAGGACTAACAAAGCACATGAATTTTATTATCCATATAACCCACTGTTAATTCTGAAAGAGATCACACAGAAATTTCCTGATAAAGAGAGAAAAATGTAGAATAAAAAGCAAAATCATAAAACTAACTCACTGCCATTGAGTTGGAAATGACTCATAGCTGAAATTCCAAAGAGTTTTCAGAGGCTGCAAATTACACCAGAGGAGACTGCCCAACTTTCTCCTGAAAGACTTACCCTTCTTATACTGGTTGACAGAGACTGAGGCAGCTCCCTAGATGGCAGCTTTTATAGTTACTCTTCAAGCTTGGAAGGAAATCACTCCCTGTGAGCCAAGTATTTTTTAGTCAAACAACTGACAGTTCTATAAGGTGATCAGTAACACTACAGAGAAACACAATGTTTTAAGTAACCAACCATACAAGATCAAAAGGGAAGCATTTGGGGAGAAAGCTCAGGGAGCAGGAAGGAATAGCAAAGATGGAAATATTGAAAAGGGAAACAAAGAAAGTAGGAAGATACTTTGTGGGGATTGCAATCAATGTCATGTTTAAATTGTTAACCGGAAATCTAATTTGTGAATTTTTCACTAAACCATAATGACAATTTAAAAAAAAATTAGAGGATTTAAGTCTTTTAACCAATCAACATAATTTTTAAAAGTAGTACCACTGTATAGATGACTTTTGTAATTAAGAACACATCCATGACTGATGAATTACAATAATAAACAATCAACAAATTACAACACAGACTACCTGTAATCCAGCTCTTTGTGAACGAGATACTGCTTTAGCCTTGGCCTTTCCACTGTCTTTTCCAGCTTTGCCGCCAGCCTAGATGAAAAGAAGGTAATGATGAAAAATTAAAAAAACAGTTATTAAAATATTCAGGAAATAAATTTTCTTCTAGTTTCACTTTTTTGTTTTTGTTTTTTTTGTTGTGTACCGCTGAATTCAATCTGACTGGCACAGGAGGAGATTGCTCCGCCTTCTCCAGCAGAGCATCTAGTGGATTCGAACTGCACACCTTTGGGATTGCAGTGCAGCTTCTTGCCACTAAGGCACCAGAGCTCACCATAATTTCACTTTTGGTAGTTAAAAAAACAAACAAAGAAACCAAGCAAAACAACTACTGCCTTCCTCATTTGCTTAAATCACCTTATATTAATTTATAGTCAACCTTAAACAGTCACTTAAAATGTAAAATTTCAGTGATAGGGAATGGCAAGGGACACACTGACAAAGGAGATTAATCAGAACTGGCTTTGACAAGCACTGCGGCAATTGGACAATTAAAACAGACATTGGGGGGGAAAAAGTATGAGGGGGGGAGAAGAACGAACTGGGGAGGAAGGTGGAGAAAACAGTGCAACAATGAATGAATGAAAACCCAAAATCTCTGTAAATGTTCATTAAAACTAATAAAATTTAATAATAATAAAAAAATGTAAAATTTCTAGACAACTAAACAAAGTCTCCAGAACTCAGACTGAAGAATCCTGATCAAGATTTATGATGCTTGAAATATTTCATAATGAAACAGCTGTTTATATATTTCTCCACAGAACTACTTATGACTTAATTCTTCTGAGAAGGAAAATAAAATATGTTGCCAAAAAAGAGGGGAGGGGATAAAAAAAAGACTGTTAAAGATTTTTTGCCAATGAGTTCTACTATAACAATTATAAACCACTACTTAAAAACAAAACAAAACAAAACAAAAAACCCACTACCTTCCAGTGTACAAAATACGTAACATTCAGGTCTACTAGTGAAAGGTAATTAACAACAGCATATTAAGAATACAATACAATCATTTCAACATAAAAGTTAAGAATGTACAAGGTACACGGTATGTAAATATACACAGGGAATGTAACAATCCATAGAAGACAGTTTTCCAAGTAAAAAAAGATAAGAACCTTGAGATTATTTTTATACAAAATAAAGAGTACACTGCATTAATATGTCACATTCTAGATGCTACACAGGGAATTAGATAGGATCTACCTATACGCAGGCATGATGAGAAATGAGGAATACGAGAGAAACCGACTTTCACTTGTGCATTGTTGTTATGTGCTGTCGAGTCCTTGCGACCCACAGAGACCCTATGTACAACAGCCCTAAACCCTGCTCTATCCTGTGCCAATCACATTGCCTCTGACATACCCATCCCGATTACCCATTCACTGGATCAATCCACCTCACAGAGGGCCTTCCCCTCCTGCTCTGTCCCTTCATCCTAACAAGCATGTCCCTCTCCAAGGACTGGTCCCTTCTTACATGTCCAAAGTATGTCAGACGAAGCTTCATAATCCTTGCCTCCAAGGAGCAGCCCAGTTAACCCTCTCCAGGGTGAATCTGTTTTTATTCTTAACAGTCCATGGTCCACTCAATACTCTTTCTCCAGCACCACAGCTCAAAGGCATATATTCTCCTTCTATCCTCCCTAGTTATTGTCCAACTCTCCGATGTTGGACAAGTGACTGCAAAGACAATGGCCTGTATTAAATGCACGTTAGTCTCTAGAGTGACACCACTGCTCTTCAGTACTTTGGAGAGGGCCATAACAGGAGACTTTCCCATAGCAGTATGTCTTTTTATTTCCTGGCTGCTGGTGCCAAGAGTGTTGACTGTGGAGTCAAGCAAACTATAGCTGTGAACAATCTCAAACTCTTTACCATCCATCCTGATGCTGCCAATTGGCCCAGTGGTGAGAATCTTCCTTTTCTTGATGATGCGTTTCAGTCTGTTTTGAAGGCTGCAGTCCCTGACCCTAAGCAGCAGCACGGTTGTATCTGCATAACACAGACTGTTGATAGATCTTCCACCAATCCTGACACTACACTTCTCCTCATAGAGCCCAGCTTCCTGGATAATCTGTTCTGCATACAGGTTGAAAAGGTATGGAGACAGGATGCATCCCTGGCATACACCATTCCCAATTTTGAACCATGCAGTACTTTCCTTGCTCTGTTCTGACTGCCTCTTGGTCCAAGTATAGGTTTCACGTAAGCACGATCAAATATTCTGGGATTCCCATTTTTCTCAGAGTCAGCCACAGTTTGTTATGATCCATACAGTCAAATGCCTTTGCATAATCAATGAAACACAGACATTCCTCTGGTATTCCCTGCTTTCAGCTAAGATCCATCTTACATTAGCTACAATATCCCCAGTACCATGACCCCTTCTAAACCCAGCCTGGACTTCTGGCAATTCTCTGCTGATGAGCTGTTCAGTCGTTTTTGGATAATCTTCAGCAAAATCTTGCGTGCATGTGAGATCAATGGTATTGTTATATAGTTTCCACACTCTGTTGGGTCACCCTTCTTTCGGATGGGAACAAATATAGACCTCTTCCAGTCAGTTGGCCAAGTTGTTGTTCTCCACATTTCTTGGCACAACTTGGTGAGCACGTCCAGGGTAGCATCTGTTAGCTGAAATATGTCAATTGGTATACCATGCATGTATTCCCGGGGCCTTATTTTTTCCTATTTCCTTCAAAGCAGCCTGAACTTCTTCCTTCATCACCATAGGCTCTTGTTCATATGTTGTTTCATTAAATTCTGTGTCTGCCAATTCCTTTCAATACAGTGACTCAGTATGTTCTTTCCATCTTCTTTTAATACTTCCTGGATCATTTAATATTCTTCCTTGATTATAGCAACTCTAGGTTTGAATTTGTTCTTCAGTTCCTTGAGCTTAATTAAAGAAATGCTGAATGAGTTCAGCCTTTTTGATTTTCTGACTCCAGCTCCTAGCACATTTCACTTAATATTTTGCTGCTGCTCCTTGGAGGAAAGGATTCTGGGGCTTCGTCTGACATACTTTGGACATGTTGTAAGGAGACAGGTCTTTAGAGAGGGACATCATGCTGGGTAGAGTAGAGGGACAGTGCAGGAGGGGAAGACCCTCTATGAGGTGGATTGATTCAGTGACTGGGGTAATCAGGATGGGTGGGTCAGGGGCAATGAGATTGGCACAGGATAGAGCTGGGTTTAGGGCTGTTGTGCATAGGGTCGCTATGAGTCGCAAACGACTCGACAGCACATAACAACAACAACAACATCCCGTGCTGCCTTTTGGAATCTTCTATTCAGCTCTTTAGTATCTTGAATTCTTCCTTCTGCTTTGGCTTCTCTGCACTCCAAGTGCAATCTTCAGAGTTTCTTCAGACATCCATTTTGGTCTTTCCGCCCCCCCTTCTGTCTTTGTAATGACTGTTTGCACTCTTCTTGGATGATACCTTTGACATCCTACCACAACTCATTTGGCCTTCACTCAAGGTTCAAGGCCTTAAACCTGTTCCTAAGATGGTTGTGAAATTCAGGTGTCATGAACTCAAAGTCATATTTTGGTTCCCATGGATTCGGTTTAATTTTCCTCAGCTTCAGCTTGAACTTCCATATGAGTTCCATATGGTGGTGTCTTCCACAATCAGCACCTGGCCTAGTTTTCGCAACTTCTCTATTGAGCTTCTCCAGTGGTTCTTTCCACAGATGTAATCGATCTGATTCCTATGCATACCATCAGGTGAAATCTATGTGTATAACCTGCGTTTATGTTTCTTATAAAACGTATTTGCAATGAATAAGCCAATGATTGTGCAAAGTTCAATCATTCTATCTCCAGCTTCATTTCTGTCACCAAATCCATGTTTTCCAACTACTGATTCTTCTTCTCTGTTCCCAAGTTTTGCATTCCAGTCACCCATTATTATCAATGCATCCTGACTGCATGTTCGATCAATCTCTGATTGTAAAAGTTGATAGAAATCAACTATTTCCTCTTCTTTGGCTCTGGTTGTTGGTTCAAATATCTGAATGATAGTGGTATTTACTGGACTTCCTTGTAAGCGTATGGGTATTATCCTGTCACTCATAATATTGTACTTCAAGATGGATCTAGAAACTACTTTTTTAACTAGGAAAGCAACCCCATTTTTTCTCACCTTTCCATCTCTGGAGTAATTTTTCAAATATGATCATCTGACTCAAAATGCCCCATGGCGGTCCATCTCATCTCACCAGTGCCTAGTCTGCCAATATTTATGTGTTCCATAAGGCCCCAGGAATAGATGGTATACCAACTGAAGTATTTCAGATAACAGATGTTGCCTTGGATGTGCTCACCAAGTTGTGCCAAGAAATCTGGAGAACAACCACTTGGCCAACTGACTAGAAGAGATCTATATTTGTTCCC